TATAGATGTACCACCATACCAAGTGCTTGGCAAGAAGCGGCTTAAGAAGGCAATGGCTTATAGTTTAAGCTGTATGGGCAGGCAGAAGTGTGAGACACCTGGACACACTAATCCAGTGAGGAAGCAGAGAGAGAGGACAAAAAGTGGGACCAGACTATCAAACTCCAAGGCCCACACTCACCAAAGTGCTATCTTCTGAAGGTTCCACTTCCTTCCCAAAGAGCACCAGTTCTTAAGGGCCAAGCAATGTAACGTTTGAGCCGCTTTCAAACAACGGCAGTGGCCTCCTTCTTGGGTACGCCTTGGGTATAGTTGATGCACTGAATAGGCTCTACCTGGACAGTCCCCTTTGTTTGAAATCAAGGACATGAGAAGTCAAGTCTACCTTGTAAAAATGTGTCTGTGCCCTGCTGAATAAACCCTTAGTTCAATAGGTGAAAGGCTGAGTTTTTAGTGGCATTTTGTGCTCTTCCCTGAGCATGTTTGGAGTTTATGCAGTAACTGCACTCTGCAGTCCCTGAAGGGCCGCTCTAAGCTTTATGAATAGCGTGCAGCACAGTCATACGCGATGATTGACTGTATCAGATCACGACTCCTCTCTCGCATACTCTCTGCACTGGACTTCCATAAACAGAGTACCCCAGTCACCAAATACAGCCTCTTTGTGCCGTCGCTATTTCTGAGTGAATGCTGTTTTTCTAATTCTGTTCTTCTGAAGTCCCTCTCATCTTTTAGGACCCATTTTGTTGTATCCTGTATGAAGTTTTCACAATTTTTTTATTTAGTTTTTTTTTTTTTTGCCTATTTGAATTCTATTTAGTTCTTTAACAGCTCATTCTTCTTTTCTAACACAAAAATGCACAAAACTCCAACCAGACCCAACCATGAAGTCTTGCAAATACTTAACTCTTTTGCTAGACAAATTCCTATCAAAGTATGATCATGCCTTTTATCTAACATTTAACTAGCTTCTTGGGTTGGTTATTTTCTTATTTGTCCACCTCACTAATTATAAGGTTTAAGGTTTAATGAGTAAAAAGGTAAACCCCATGACTATGTGTCTCCTGAGCAGAAGAAAAGCATCATATACTATGTGTTCAGCACTGAACCTGTCTCGAATATTATATATAGTTTATCTCTTTTCTTTAGAAATCCACAGAACAGTGACAGTGGTTACTCAAGACAAATGATTTCTTATTCATAAAACTAAAATTAAAGTATGGGATGTCCAGACCTGACCTAGCAACTTCAGTGTCAAGGACCTGAGCTTCTTCGTTCTTGTTCTGCCTTTTCTGGGAGCCTTACCTCCACATCATTCCATCCAGCTGAAAGTCAAAATCAATGACAAAGACAGCTTTTTGATAGTTACACCCATCTGTCAGTGTTCTGAACATAGTGTCCCTCATCAATATCTGCTAAAAAATTAGAACTTAGAACTTAAGAGAAGGAGATGATTGGTCACTGTGTTTGGATTTGAACATGTTTAATTCAATAAAAATTATTTTCCTGAAGGGTGATAATTTTTTTCAAAAAGCACACCAAAATGTAATTGACATGTAATTGTACCCAGAGACCTTCCTTTTCCTCTGTTCAATGTCACTAATGTAAAACACATTTCCCTTCTTGGTTGAATAAAATGTAACATTTACTTATTTGTATCAACCAAACTGATTGAATTAAATGATGTATCATTTACTTATTTGTATCAACCAAAACTTAATTTCTCAGCATATATAGCTTTATTTTAATTAAAAACATATTTTTAATATGAGGTAATTTTGGAAGGAAACTTGTTAAGACATAAGCTATAAAAGAAAGTAAAGCAACCAGTTATTTAGGACCAATTATTTACAAGGAGACAAAACAACAGGATCTCTAAGGGTAGGTCAGACACTCTGTCCGGCATAGAAGCTCAATTATGACAGGAAGTAAACAATTCAGAATAGCTTCAGGAAGTTCCTGAAACTGACCAGATTCTCTAGCCCTCTCTTTCCAAAAGTATGTAAATAGTAGACTGCTTAGAGTCACTTTAAGTCTAGCCAAGCTTTAAAGAAGATTCTGACCAGCCCAACAGCCTAGAGGAAGCAAGGACCAGCCAAGCAAGCTGAAAGAAAAAGGGCCCCAGTTGAACTGTATGGAAAGGGTCAGACCAACAGAGCCACCTGGAAGGGACACCTTCCAATCTGTTGAGCTGCCTATCAGCTGTGCCGTATGCTCCAGGTTTCCAGGTTTTGTGAACTATCACCCAAACTGGGATAGGCTTTGCTGTCCTTGAGTCATTTCTGTAAGAACCACAGCAAAACTCATTGATTTACCAAGTTGAACTTTGCTGGTATCCATACTTTTGTCTGTCACAGGCTTCCTCTTTGGGGTGAGTGGATGTGTATATTGACTCTCCTCAGGAAAAGTCTGTCCACATAAAGGTAACCAGTTAGGGAACTCGTCCTTGGTGAGGCCAATTCTCCCTCTTTTAGCAGTTAACTTATAATTCTTTGCCTAGGCTTGTGCACCTCACCCCTGGGAGATTTTCCCCTTCTACATTAGCATGTCTGTTGATGCTGCTGTTCAGATCTTAGTTTAGGCAGCATTTCTAGGAGGCACTGTCTCACAGCAGACGTCCTAGTCCTCTGGCTCTTACAGTCTTTCTGCACCATCTTTCGAGGTGTTCTTTGAGCCTTAAGAGAGGATTTGTGCTGTTCATATATCCACACCAGATATCCCCAACCATCTGTTCATCTCTGTATTCTGTCCTCTTGTGGTTTTCTGTGTTGGTTCTCATTTGCTGAAGCTTCTTTGATGAGGGTGGGACCTGCTCTTCACTGTAAGTATGAGGATAATATTGAGAATGTAGTTAGGAATTAAGCTGCTCTAATAAAGTGGGGATGGTAGGCTCTCTAAGATCCATGACCTCACTAACCTAGTGAAACTGGACGATTTCTAACACCAGGAATGCTTTCTCTTCTGCTGAATGGGGCTTAAGTCCAATTAGACAATTGTTGGTTAGCGCCAACATGAGTGCCTTTATTGCCATGCTGGTGATTCTTGTGGTTCATAGATGTCATGACGATCTACATTTTTTTAAAAGGACTATAGAAAGTGTTGTGAGGATGTAGAAAAATTGGAGCCTTTGTGCATTGCTAGTGGAAATGTAAAATTGCACAACCATTATGGAAGCAATTTGACAAACCCAAAATAGTTAAGTATAGAACTATCATTTGACCTAGAAACTCCTCTCTACAGGAAACTGGAGCATAATGACTGCTTATTAGTTAAGATACTGACTGCACTTCCAGAGGACCCAGGTTCTATTCCCAGCACCCACATGCTGACTCAACCATCTGTAATTCTAGGCCCAGGGGGTTTGATGCCATCCTCTGACCTCTGGACACTGAGCATGTATGAGGTATACAGATAATACATGCAGAAAAAAGCCTCCTTTATACATAAAATAATAAATTACTAAAACTTTTAATCTATACACAAATGTTCATAGTTTTATTCATAGTAGCTTAAAAGTTGAAAAAAAACTGAATATCCAGCAATTGAGAAATGGGTAAAGAAAATATTATATATCCATTTAGTGAATATACAATATTTGGAATATATTCAACTATATAAGAATAAATTATTGTTATATTCTACAACATGGATGAACCTCAGGAATAATTTCTTATGTGAAAGAAGTTGCACGTTGAGGCCTTGTGTTGTATGATTACATTTGTTTACTTTTATGATTATTATGGGTTAAACTAGGGTGTTGAACATGTTAGAGATTAGTACTCTACCACTGACCTGTCTCCCCAACCCTTACCATATCATCTATATAAAATGATACAAAGAGGCAAATCCATTCGAACAAGCCAATTATTTGCTAGGAGATGGGGAGGTGGGAAGTTGATGTTAGCTTTTAATAGGTTCAGTGTTTTTGTCAGGATAAAAATGGACAAAATTGTACCAGTTCTACCACATAGTACATGCCCTAGTATATACTTGAAAATGTTAAATTTTGTTTTATGTGAATTATATTTAAATATAATGATTTAAGTACTTGATCCCCAGAAAGAGAACAGACTCATGCAAGTTGTCTCTAACCTATACATCTGTGCTGTGACACCTGGGTATAACTGTGCATAAAGTAAATATGTTTTAAAATTTCAAGATTATAAAGATTTTGGGGGCCCTCAAAAAAACTGGTTGTCCTTGAAAACCAATAGAGAATTGAATCTCTGCTGTGGCTTTTAGAAAATCCTAAAAGGAAGGTTCGGGTTGTATTTTTTATAACTGCACGGGAAGAGTCCTGATCATTAAGGAGCTCTCTGCTCAGTGCCAAGGAATGTATTAGAGGGATGTTAGGCAAACTGAGATGATAAAACCAAATTACCTCCTCGGAGAAAATATGTGTAGTTCAGAAGCAGCAGGGAAGTTAGGAGACTAATAGGTAGTGGGCTGAGCCTGAAGAGATGCAAGCTTTCTTTTTTTAATGTACAATCCAACAGGAGCTCTCCCTAGATTTTGTTCTAAAATAAGAGCATTTTCACACATTTTAATTGCTCTGTGATAACAACAGTGTGAACTCCATCCACAAACATTTATTATCTATTTAGTTTTGCTCTAATTCAGTGTAGCAAGAATTCACCTTATAAGTAGAAGTAACGATCCATTTAGTAAAAAGAAGTCCCTTCCCACATTACTAATCATGTTGTACATTTCTATGCTAAAGTATTAATAATGCTCTTTGTCCATTTTTAGACAATATTTACAGGGTCCTATTCACAAAGCAGAATTTTTATGAACTGGACCATGACTTAGGAACTGGAATATTAAAAAATATTTTACTTAAGAGTGTAGATTTCATATTTTATGTCATGATTTCAGGTAAAACTTTTATGTTTTTATAAACCTTGATATCACCTAGTATTATGTTTATAGGACTCTTTAGGAAACACTTAAAAAGTGTGTGTAACTTTAATAACTATCTAAGTTGTTCTTATATTTTCCAGAGTTGGCATTCATCCCATCCTTTATAGTGATGATACAGGACAAAGAGGAATGGATAAAAACATTGGTGAGCAACTCAACAGAGCATATGAAGCCTTCCGACAAGCGTGCATGGACCGAGACTCGGCAGTAAGAGAGCTGCAGCAGAAGGTGTGTGCTTTGGATTGGAAAGCTGATTATTTTTCTTGGCAATTGAGGTTAAGAACTGAGAATGTTTGATTGCTAGAAAATATTTGGAGAACTATAGTTATTAAAACACAAGAGTATAATAATAAATAATAAAATAATAACATTGAGATTTTTGTTACCTTTTAAAAACATTTTGTGTCCTATGGAAAAGGTTGATTTGATGGATTAATTTTAAAGTGATTATGATTAAGATAGAACATTGTTTCTTTTTTTCTTTTTTTTAAATTTTTTTAAATTTATTTTTCCATTCAAAAATTTATACTTTCTTCCCTCCTCCCATTCCCCTCCCATTCTCCAATCACCCTCTTCCCTCCTCCTCCCTCCTTAAGAGAGAGCAGGGAACCCTGCCCTGTGGGAAGTCCAAGCCCCCCTCCCCCATATCCAGGTCTAGGAAGCTTTGCATCCAAATAGACTAGGGTCCCAAAAAGTCAGGACATGCAGTAGAAACAAGTCCCAGTGCCTTTATCAATGGCTTCTCAGTCAGCCCCCATTTTCAGCCACATTCGGAGAGTTTGGTTTAATTGCATGCTCATTCAGTCCTGGTCCAGCTGGATTTGGTGAGCTCCCATTAGATCAGGCACACTGTCTCAGTATATAGCTTTTACAGTTTCTCCGTATATAGCTTTTAAATGTCACTCTTTTATATAAGAAATAAATATAAAGTCGTTTTATAACTGAAAGACTTTAATCACTGCTTCTCAGTTTTGCATTGTTTCTTTCCATTTTTTCATATTGTCACTTGGGTACCAGGAACTAATGTATCCTGGAACTAAATTTGTTATTAATTTATCATCTTCCATTCTTTATGACAGTTAAGATAGAACAGAAGATGATAAATTATTACAGTGATGTGGCATAAGTTCATAATCGGGACTCATGGAAAAGACACGTGGAAAGGTCTGGAGGAGTCTGTTCCCTCTTCCTGTGGACTTCCCCAGCTTCACAAGTTCTGTCACATGTGTGCCAAGTGTAAGAAATTCCACTCTAACATTCACAGTCACTGGGTTTTGCTGTTATTTTTGAGTTCAGAGCTGGCTTCACAGATACACTGTATCTACCAAACGTCCACATGCGGGGAAAGTAGATCCTCCATAGACTTATTACTCTGTCTAAATAGGCCGACTCAGCAGTCACAGTCTTACCACTTAAGAATGTTTTAAAAGTCAGTTTCCAAATATGAAAGGATCAATTTTGCAAGTAGGCCTTTATGAAAATAAGAGCCAGTAGATCTACTAGGAGGAATGTTAGCTTATTCCTCCACAGGCAGTTGGAGGTAGGGGAACTTGCATTGATTCCTCTGGTTAAAAAAGTCCTTGAGGAGCTAGTGGTTTAAAGTAGTTGCCATGAAAGCATGACGGTCAGATTTGATTCCCAGCATCCATGTAGATGTTGGGTGGGCATAGTGATCTGTCTGTAATTCCAACTCTTGAAAGCCAGATAATCATTCTAACACATTTGCAAGCTCTCAGGTTCACTTGACAGACCCTGCCTCCATGAATAAGGTTGAAAGTGATTGAAGAAACTTAGAATCTATCTCAGGCCTCCACGTGCACACACTTGCCCACAAACATGAACATACAAGCACACATATAGATATATATGAAGAAAAAACATTATTCATGAAATTTTGAAGTCAAAAGAGGCTATCCATGAAGTTCTTTGTTCATTCAATAAATATAGTGTGTCATCTATACAATTTCTTCCTTTCTAGGTAATCCAGCTACTATTAAACATTTCTGTATATACCTTCCTGAATTCTACAAAATCCATCTTTATTCTTTGTGAATCTTCTCTTTGTTTGTAAAAGAATAGTGTTATTGAGTGAACTAAAGACTCTAAATCTTCTCATTTTAAGTAGCTAGAAGGAAGAGGGCATGATATGACAGGGCCTTCAAAAATTATTTAATGTAGGAAAAAAGTAAAAAAAAAAACAAATTTTTGTCTTCCTACGTCACAATTAGGCTCATTAAGGGACTTAACAGTTCTATTTGTGTTTAGGGTACCTTGGAACTAGGGAAGAAGATGATGCAGTTTTGAGAATACTAAAATAAGTAAAACATTATTATACATTTTAGAACTTTCAGATGTTCAAATAGGTAGTAAATAAGATGGTTATTGCATATATACTTTTAAAAAACAGAAAAGAAAAAGAGGCTCACTGGCTGATAGCTGACTGTTATCAGACATGACAGAAAAGATCAGGTAGTGTGTGACCTAGGGAAGAGGCATCTAATTCTTTCTTTGTGAGTCAGGTCAGCACAATATGAGTTCACATTTGGGCTAAGAACTCTTGTTAGGAAGAACATAGTAAGCTAGGAGACAGGGATCACGCACGTGTGTCTGTAATACAAGAAGTGAGGGCGTGTTTGCTACCTTGCATGTCTTACAAGGTGGTCCTATGACTTCATTAAAAATGATGAGGTATTATGGGAAAAGAAGCTGTAAAGATAATAGCCCCATCATGAAGAATATGACTAAGTATGTATCTTTAATTAGTCAGAAATTACTGAAGAATTTTATGCTTTAGAAAACTCTTGACACTGACAAAGAACCCAGCGAACATACTGAAGACATGTTACATATGTTCTAAGTGTAAATTATATTAAAAATGGCAATCTTTATACTTTATAAATTACAATATGTGCATTAATGTAAAATTCATATATTAATAATTGTGTAATGTATTAAACCTTTACTAACATATATTAGATAGTAAGTATATGTAGGTTTATTGCACTTTGGTTGAGAAAAATAAAAACCTGAATATCAATAATTTTAAGAATTTAAAATAAGGCACTGAATTAGCAGTTATGTGTGAATTTTAAAAAAGACCTAATTTCTTTTTTCCAGACAGTGTTTCTCTGCATAGCCCTGACTGTCCTGGAACTCACTCTGTAGACCAGGCTGGCCTCAAACTCACAAAGATCCTCCTGCCTCTGCCTCCCAACTGCTGGGATTAAAATTGTATGCCACCACCACCCAGTGACCTAAAATTTCTCTAGTAGATAAAATGACAAGAAGGTGGCACCTGAGTGTAGGTCACTTAGGAAGATGATGAAAGTAGACTCTATAATGTTTAGTTTAATGCTGATCACTGAAATCAAGAGTGATGAAGAACTTAGAGTTCGGTTATGGGGAAATAATATATATATTGCAGTTCTAATTCTTAGGTTTAGACCTGTGGAACATATGGGTGAACTATCTGATGGGTAGGTATGAACACTGTTCTGTAGGCTTACAAGGAGTTCTGTATGGAGACTGATGGTTTGAATAAGAATGGTCCCCACAAGCTCATACATTTGGCTGCTTAGTCACCATGGAGTGACACTATATGAAAAGATTAGGATAAAGGGGGTGGCTTTGTTGGAGGAAGTGTGTGAGGAGGGACTTTGAGGTCTCAAAAGCTCATGCTAAGCCCAGAGTCAGTCAGTCTCTCTCTCTCTCTCTCTCTCTCTCTCTCTCTCTGCCTATGGTCAGGATATAGTTCTCAGCTGCTGCTCCAGTACTCTGCCTGCATGCTGCATGCTTCCTGCAAGTGATGATAGTGGACTAAACCTCTAAAACTAAGCAAGCCTCCAGTTAAATGCTTTCTCTTTTAATGGTTGTCTTGATTATGGGTCTCTTCGTGGTAATATAATATAACCGTGACTAAGATAGTGACTAGAGCTAGAACAAGACTGTGTAGTTTTAAATGGTATTTCTCAGTTAGAATGTGTAGTAGCTTGAATAAATATTTAAAAAACGAAAGTATGTTAGAATGAAAGGAAGAGAAAGACTCGCAATTTAGAATGTAGTTTAAGCAGTTTGAAGACAGAGACCCAGAGAACACTGGGATTTTAAAGAAGAAACATAAAGGGGGGCCCTTTAAAGAGACTTAACAACAACAAAAATAGTCTACAAAGCCAGGAACAAATTAGAGAAGAAAACATAACAGAAGCCACAGGAAAGGGGTCTCAGGAAGGGTACAGTAGTTAGCACAACTAGATAGCCAAGTGACTTGATAAGAGGATAGTGGAAGGTGGCATTGTATTTGGCCATGTGTGGAGGTTGTTGAAATTCTAGGGCTGTTAGTGGAGAGGGGAACATAGTACACTGAGGCCTGGGGAACAAAGGCAAAGGACAGACAACTGCCAAAACCTGTGAAGGCTAGAGAAGTGTTTTTGTGTTTTAGAATGAGTGAAATGAAGAAAGACAGCTTTAATGAGAAGGCACAAAGAATAATTCAGTTCCTGGCAGCACAACTGTTGGGGGAAGCTACTTGTTCATTTCCCAGCCACCTAGACTTCATATAACCACACAGAAACTGTGTTAATTAAATCACTGCTTGGCCTATTAGTTCTAGTCTGGCTTCTTATTGGCTAGCTCTTACACCCTTAACTAACCCATCTCCATTAATCTGTGCAGCACCATGAGGTCGTGGCCTACTGGCAAAGTTTCTACAGGTTCCAGTGACTACATGGCTTCTCCATGACTCTGCCTACTCTCTCTCTATAGATATCTCTTCCAGCCTGGCTATATTTTGTTAAGCCATTGGCTGATAGCAGCTTCTTTGTTAACCAGTAAAAGCAACACATATACAGAAGGACTTCCCACACTATTTCTCTTTTCTGTTTAAATAAAAAGGAAAGTTTTAATGTTAACATAGTAAAATTACATATAACAAAACAGGTATCAAGCCAGAATTACAGTTACAATATTTATATCTATTATCATAACTAAGGAAACCTATAACTATCTATTCTTCAACTCCATCAAAGACACCAGATGGATATAATATTACCTAAGTTAACAGGAAGTGCATTGTAAGCAACTTCCAAAACTCTAGAATTGATAAGAGACATCTTGCTACCTGGACTGTCACCCAAAGGTCTTCTGTAATGATGCAGGCACCCATCTTCAGCCTACTGGCCCATAGTATTCGGCAGACTTTTCCATGAAACAGAAAATTTCAAAGACAGTTC